AATTGTTAAATCACTATTGGTTTTACTGTTTTAGACAAGTAGCAAGTAATTACCAAGTTATGAAACCATTCACATACATATTTGTCTTGATAAACTGGGAGGATTTGCAGCACAAAACTGTCTCAGAAAAGGAGTTCAGTCGCCTATCTCCAAGGAAGTCACCAATCTGAGACACTGTAAGGTACAGACAATTTAATCTAAACTGGAAAGTAAAAGTAGCAGAAGAGATTAAAACTACTTGTAAATCACTATTCTTATGATCAGCACTCAACAAAATGATCATCTATTACTTTGAAGAGTTAAAAACTGAAATCAGGTATTAACAAAACCGTAATGCTCATGTACGTGACTAACTACACACAGGTTGTCACATAGATTTACAAGTACCAATGGACAAAAAAGGGGAAGAGGTCGCCAAAACAAGTCATCCAGTTCTCCTCAGGTCTTCATTTGTTTGGAAGGATAAAACCAGCATTTATCTTTCTCTCTCTTCAGATAATAGCTATTTTAGGACAAATAATGCCTTTTTTTTTTTTTTAAACACAAGGTATAACTGTCACTCTTTGGGGCTTCTAGGAGCATGGTAATTTTTTTCCACACTTAAAAAATTAGTAAAAGAACAAATTACAAAGTTCAGCGCATTTGTTACCCCTTTTAGGATAAAATTCTAGAGATCTCATAAACTGAACAAAAGAAAGCAATTTTCAACTTCCAATGCAAAGAAACTGCATGCACAAAATGGTTTTAGATTACAGAACCCCAGAGCAAGGTTCTTCAATGATGTATGTGGCAGGAGACAGCAGTAATAGACCGAAAAGGGGAGCTGCTGACTGCATGCACACAAGGGGAAAAAGCAACTGCAAGAATAATAAAGTATTGGAACAGGTATTGCTATGAGGTTGTTGAATCTCAAGACTCAAGTGGATAAAATCCTAAGTGAGCCGGTCTGAACTGAACGTTGACACTGTGCGCAGCACAAGGTTGGACTAGATGATCTACAGAGATCATTCTCAACTGGAATTATTTTGATTTACTGGGCTACCCAAATGTACCTGTTTTTTCTCCTTTCACTTTGGGACTGAGATTAAGATAAGGATAAAGTACCGTAGCAAAACTCTTTCATCAAAGTGGCAGCATCTGGTTTAAGCACCAGATTAAGATGCATAGAATATTTGGTTTTATATGTCAGAAGGTGACTGAAGTAGAATTTACAAAAAGTTATTGCAAAGATAAATATTTTCCTCAGCAAACAATTAAAAAAAAGAATTTTGCCATAAACCAACAGACCTTCCTACAAATATTTCTGATAGTGTCTTGTTAGGAAAAATTATGCTTTAACAGAAATGAAAGTTTGCTGTATGAATAAGAGATTTTGCTACATATCCTACTAAACACCACAAGTGCCAACAAGCTTCTCAGATATACAAAATGGACTTCTGACAATTTTGGATATTTGACTGATCCTTATGCCAGCAATTATTAATCAAGGGAAACCAATGAACTGCCTCAAAAAAACATTTTAAATGGTGACTTTCTTATAATAAAGATCCAAAGTTTAAAACAGTTCAAAACAGAAAACGTTTTTTAAAAAATTTAATAAGACAAATGCAACATGGTAAGTTAATGCTTTTGGTTTACTTTAGTTATATTTTCCTTAAGAGGTGAAGAACAGCTGCTATGTTAAGGTCCAAAAAACACATTTATTTTTAACATTTGGCAAAGGTATATGGTTCTCCATACAGACATTTCAAAATGTATGTTGGAAATAAATATGAAATGTCAATATTTAGCATTATTCCAGATCTTTAATGAAATTATTACTTCTGTGGAATACTCTAAATATGTATTACAACTTCCATTGCACAGACTGGAAAACTGAAGGGGATAAAAGAAAGGTTTACTACTAAGTATAAGATGAAGCAACAACTAGCCAGGTTGCCCCACTGGCCATATTCCAGCATGTTTACTTTGATTTTGTTCATAGAAATCAATTTTTAAAAAAAGTCAAAATAAAGCTTTTTCTCTCTGGGTTCTGATAACATTGACCTTCAGTTAAAACCACTGATCTGTTGTGAATTTATTTTACAGACAACTAGAACATTATTAGCCTAAATATTGCAATATATGGTACACAGTCACAGTCATGAAAAAACATACTTTCTGTGCAAGAGTATGTAGAATAGTAAGATCAGTATTTAAAATTACTTGTCCTTCACATGTCCCACTATATTAATGTAGAAATATCCGAGTCCTAAACTGGTCATTAAAGCAGTTTGCATTTAATCTACAGATCTCTATAAGAGATTTTATTTTTATACAAGGATTTTCTGTGACTTTTTATTTTTGCTCATTGGCTTTAAGACATAAAATGACTTTTTTTTTTTTTAACTGATGAGAATTACAGGTATTCTTATCTTGAAACTGCAATCATACATCCCTGTCCTACAAGGTATCTGGAACACAGGTATGCAGATGAGGCAGTTAACAAAGAACTTAACAACTTTTCATTTTTTACCAGTAACAGGGCAAACTGCTTTTTAATGTTTTAGCTAGTCAAGGTGAACCTGAGGTTCCTCATCTGAATTCACTGCAATTGCCTGACACATGACAATAACCCAGTTATTCTTCACTAGTGCAACCATGACAGCTTCAGTGACCATAAGCCACACCAATTTACGTGGGCATGGGCCTGCCCCGAGGCAGGTTTAAAAGTAGCTAGTGTGTTATTTTGGACTTTGCTTTCAAATACATCTAATCTCAGTCAAAAAAAAAATTAAAATTCTCTATGCCACACGTTCACTCTAATTTTTTGCCAGATAGACATGCTAGTATAAGGTATAATGAATAATGAACCTGGACTCACGCAGCTAAAGCCACCAGTATGGTGGTTACTATACCAGCAAAATTACCTCTGCAAGTGGTTCTTCTTTTGCTGGCACTAACAAACATAGATAATTCCCTGGAATAGGCTTAGCTCGAGCTGTCTAACATACAAAGAGGCACTGGATGCCATAATAACCTAGACATGCACACAAAACACTCAAACCTGGCCTAAGAAAACCCCTTTAACTTTAATGTAGCTGTTCTTCTCTCGGTTCATCTAAAATCTGAACATAGTTTAATGTAAGTGATCCTGCCAACCAGGATCATATAAGTCATACATATTCCACAGTCTTCCAAATCAAGAAGTTATTTAAAAGTGGTAATCATAATTTGGGGGATTCTTTCTATTTCTAAGCTTTAAAGGATGCACTTGCCAGGAACATGACAGATGTTAATTTTTTGTAATGCAAAACCTGGAATGTAATTTAATCTGACTGTAGCAACTAAAAAATGTGCATGAAAAACAAACATTACAAGACTTCCAGTAATTCCAACTACTGGCAGCAATGCCCTAACAGCAGCTGTAACTGAGAAAAGTTTAGATGGACAAAAATTTATTCACATTCAAAATAAATATGCTAAAGATTACTTTCTTGAAGTGATCAAAGATCTCAAAGACAGACATTTAAGTCAAGCAACAGTGGCAACAAAATTATTTAAAAAAGAAGCACTTAGTGAGCAAGTATGTGACTTACTGGGAGGCTTTTCTTCTTAATGGATTTAATAGCTAATGAGGTCTAAATTAATCACTAGTAATAGTCCTGACTATTATATTTTGACAAAATAAAAAGAATCTTATTTCAATATTTCTATTGGAGTGGGAAAATAAGAAAAAGCAAAGGGAAAAAGTTGTAGGAAAAATAAGTCAGGAATAATTAAACATTCTACTGCATCTTTTTTTTCCCCGGAGTACCTGTATTTTCTTCTACTCTTTATGCAATTTAAAAAGGAACAAAATTGATTCAGATGTCTAATAGCTTCCAAACAAAAAGAAGCTATTAACTTTTCAATTGCCTGTTACATAAACATATTTGCTATAAAAATCAGAATTAAAAAAACCCCAACTGAAAATGCAACTGTAGCTTCAGAACATTCTATTACGAAATTAAGGGAACCCATGGTGTTTAGTAGCTTTAATAGGATCTGCCTCACATGAAATATGATACTATGGCATTATAGAAGACGAACACTTTTAAAATATTTATAAATTTACATGAAAATCATCCATATATACCATGATGCATTTCAATAATTATTCTACAATACAATGGGAGTGCATGCTCAAACAAAACACCTCAGCAGTATTTTAAAGCAGTAAACCACCTAGCCAATTTCTGTACGTTCTGTAGTTTTTCTAATCCACTCTCCCTGTGGTTGAGCAAAATCGAATTGCCTCTCACATTTGCAGACAGCTCTGTGAAGGTGATAATAGAGCTGCTCCCTGCTGTCATGAGGCAGGAAATAGGAAAATGGCATATGGGGCTAGAAAGAAATAAAAAGAGAACTAAACAAGAACAAAAGAGATTTCAACAAAGGACAACTATAACCCAATATGCTTTGCAAGTTAATCTCTTTTCATAATAATTTAACATACTTAATAATTTATCTGCACACTCAAATGCTTGATATCAACTACTCTGTGAAGTTTTATTGCCCAAAATATTTGGAATAGAAATTATACTAAAAACCATCATATGCAACGCCTGTAAATCAATGCCTTCCTACTACTCATGTTAAGGGGCTGAACCTTTTCCAATCTGTTAGTAACTGATCTTAGATTTTGTAGCTAAAATGTAACATATAAAACAATGTATACTTGGATTATTAGTTGCAAACCTGTTGAGTGACACCTGAATAGCAAAATATTAAGAGAGGATTATGATTGGTTATGTGTACTAACAATATCAAAGACTTCCAGCCTGTTTAAGGACTACTGATGTAAGATGAGGAATAAACTAGAAATGATATTTTCATTTACAATGAGGTGGGGTTTTTTAAATTTTTATTTTTTTAACACAGTATAGGCCTCCAAAAATCAAGAACTTACACATATTTACAGTGCTTCTATATTAAATCTTACTGAAGTGCCTTAAAAATAAAAAGCAAGCCTACTATACCTTTCCTTTTACACTCTGAATGGGATCCACCACCACAGCAACAGCTCTTTCTGATAAGGCCTCAAAGCTCTGCTGGGTATTGATATCTACACCAGACAACCAACAGCCAAAGCCAGGATGACTATGATACCAACCAACTACCATCTCAGGTCTGAAACAAAGAGGACATTGAGATTCTTAAAAATATAAACATGTATCACAAGAAGAAATAGGAATATATCAGGGCATAAATTACAATGAGCTGTGAACAAAACACCATTGGTAATATTTAAATTACTCACGATAGTATGGTGAAAACATGGACATGAATAAATGAGACAAAAGAGGGCTATCATTAAGGGATACATATTAGCAGTGGTAGATCATGCTTTCAGTTTTTCACCCTGTTACCACACCTTCCCTGAACCAGTTTTTACCCTTTCAGCACTTGAGTAAATATCTACTCTTTAACTCCTTGGCATCGAAGGTTGAATTTTCATGGCAGAAAGTCCATTTCAGACATGGACAACGGGAACCAACGGTGGGAAAGGATTAAATATCAATTAAACCAGCAGTAGAACTAGGAACTCAGTCAAAAAGCAATTTGCACTGTTCTGTTCAGCTGCTGAGCCTTTTGCTAACATTAATTTTGAAGTTTTTCCCACAGTAAAAGAATTTGAGCAAGCAGACGACAACTGTTGAGAGGTAGGAGTAAAATAAAAATTTGTTTAAATACTAGGGTCTTTTACAAAATTATTTTCCCTTTCTTTTCATTAAAATTGCTCATGAAAAAGCTACATCTTCCTAATTTTTTAAAATCTTATTTAAACGGTTAAATAAAAAAATCAATCTTTTAAGCAGGTACTGTGTAGTAATCACCTACACTAAACTGAGCAGCATTCTAATCTTTCTGCACGATAATCAAAGCTGTAGATTTAACAGGAGTGATAGTCTCCTGACAATTGAAATGCAAGAAAAGAACTGAATTACATGCTACTCACCTAATTTCTGGGCCAATTATTTATTTTTAAACATTATTAATAGCCCCTAGACTACTAGTTTTGCAGAAAGCCAGCTGTTTCTTCTAAAAACCATGCAGGGAGTATTTGTTACCAACAGCCCTCTTTACACTGACTTACCTTCCTGTCTGTTTCAGCATATCCAACATTTTTGCTTGAAATACAGGATCCACTGCTTCCACACTGACACCCTGATTCAAAAGACAGACAAAAATCATAGTAGTTGTACATAAAGCAATATTATCTTTTGACTTGTTACTTTCCACACAAAAAAATATTTATAAGTATCTTTTTAAAAAGGCAACCTGAATATTCCAGTACTACATGACAGAACTCTCTTAAATGCAAAATACAATTTTTAGAAATGTATTTCAATGTGATTCTTAAAATACTGAAAGAAGATTTTGAATTGCTATGTAAGTAATCTCTACAATGAGTAAACATGATTAAATAGGCACAGGAATTTATCTTTTCCCCCTCTGTTTGCTCTGCAAACAGTGGCCTGTTGTTTCTCACAAGTTCAGCTCTACAGGTTTTATTCAAGATTAATATTACATATTGGCTTTATGCAGATTTTTATATTATGCACAGGTATAGAATTAACTTGGGACAAAAGAATTTGAAAATTTAATTGATGTGCAGCTCTGAGTTACAAAGGGATGCCATTGTTTCTTTTAAGAACATTTCATTCTAGTTACACAAAATAAAGCATCATAAATCCCAGTTATGCCCCTTGACTCACCTCTTTAATCTCTTTATAAAATGGATATTCTTACTCAAAATTAAAATACATAATTTTTTCACATCACAAAAATATCATTTAAGAGACATGCCACTAAGATCTGTCAAAGAGAGCGAGTCTGAAGCATATCTAGTTTGAAGTGTATCTATAGCTCCATCACAATTAAGCACATGATATGCTTCTAATCAAACATTTTAAATTTTGAATCCTTCCCCTGGCTCACAGTATATGAGTTCTGAAAGTTATCAATTTATAAATCTTATAAGTCATGTACTACCAATATATTTATACTACATAAGAACATAACATCTGCATATATTGATATACCCACTTAAGTACTAGACTTTGCCAAAAAAAAGTTTCTACTAATTTTTTTCGTTTACTGAAACCTTTAAATCCATTTGACTTGTTTGAACTATAACTCACAGATTATACCTTCAGATTGCATCAGAGGTAAAGCACAAGAAGCTTTCCAAAAATAAATTTACCATAAGGAAAAAAACAAACAAGCAAACAAAACTATCAAGGTCTAGATGCAAAGAACTCACCGTTCCAGACTGTGGCATTGCAAAAACATCAATCACTCTCACAGTATAATCATCAACAAATTCTCCAAGCATCAGACCCATGACTTCCATAGGGACACCAGCACGACCATGCTTCAACATCTGGAATCAAGACCAAATGACACTATATGTTTAACAGGAGATTCAAGTTTGATTTGAGGTAGTTCTTTCAGCCTTTGTTGATCTATAGTTAATTTGCAACTTGTAGCACATTTGGAAACTGTAATGAACTATAAAATAGTAAAAGCAAAGCCAATAAAGCAGAACTAACTGAAGTAAGTTTCTGAGTGTTCCAATCAGCATTAATTTATTTTTAAAATTAGTCTGACCAGCACCTAGGGAACACAAGTCCATAAACTTTGGACAGCTGCCAGGTGCTCTATCTCCAGCACTATACTCAGACACAGTATGCACAGAACACTTACTTTCAGCAGTGCAAGGGAAGAGATATAAACCTGTTCTGCTGTATCAACTGCAGGAGCATCTGTTGGTGGCCCCTATGAAAAGAATAAATAATTATTTTCTCCACCATTGTTATTCTGCAGTTTCAAAACATTTTCTTTTGTTTTCCATATTACAAAACTTACAGAAAAATGCATGTATAATTGCGACTTTGTGGGTTAGATGCAGTTGTTACAAACAAAAAAAAAAAAAAGTACACCCAAACCCCAAACACTTCTTTACAGCACCTTTCTTCACTAACATATTTTGTAAAAGGTCACCTAGCCATCATCCCACCTCCCCCACCCCAAAGTACACAGTCTAAAGAGCAATCTTATCACAATCAGTCAAATATAAAACTGGCAAGTATTGCACTGGGTACAAACCTGTTACAAGCCATTCAGGCTGAGTCAGATAAGTTTCCATTAGTCAGCCTTGCTGCAATGCAAACCTTCGTCAGCTGTAAAATATGGCCACTTCTCCAATTAACTATGTGTTTCTTACAGTGGTGTGAATGTAAATGCTGCTGGGCTAGCATGATTAACTGGCAGCAACACAAACAGCAATTTCCCTTTGCTTCATCAGCTTTCAGCTAAAGAGGACTTGCAGATAAAGGCTATGGGAGTACTTTGCAGATACACCGGTACAGTGAGAGAAAAAATGGACCTCTGATCCCTAGGTGGAAAAGCTGTGAACAAAATACTTTGCTCTTTGCCTTATGAGTAGTTATTCAAAAATTAGCACAACTGTCCCAGGTGTGAATGATTGGTTGAAACAGGTTCTGTGTACTGCTGAAAATGAAAAACACAGGAGGCAGCAGTTTAAATGTCCCTTTCTCAAGGAGCAAAAGAAATGCTGCTGCTGCTCTTATATACAGAATTCCATATCAGCATACCTCATTACAGTCAATTAAGAGCACATTCATTAATTTATTATGAAATTGCGTACAACAAATTTCTGCTGAAAAGACACAGGTTACTTCTGCATGAAGTGATGTAAACTTCGAAAGGCAACAAAACAACACTAGGGAGTATGGTAAATAAAAAAGATACTCCACATTAAGCTTAAAAGAGGAAAACCGGTGCTTTTACACAAACATTTTACAGATTTAGAACTTTGACTCCAGAGTTATAAGCAAAATTGGGGAAAAAAAAGGAGAGGTTTCAAATAAATTCTAGATTTTTCCCTGTAAGAGGAAATTCAGTACAATGTGCATCCACATGACATCAAACAGAAGAAAGCAATCAACGCATGCCATTACCTCCTGAAGATAAAACCAGGTACTTAAGTCATCAAAATATTACATTTGTACAGTAATTGTCTTTTCTGCATACTTTCATTTTTTCATACACAGAAAAACGACATCTAGTCTTCAGAATACAGACAATAAGAAAATTCAGTTTGGGGTTTTTTTCCCTCCCTAACGTCAACGAATACCTTCTCTATTAATTCCAGATCCAACTTTTATATTTTGAATCCAGTCTTTGTATTTTGAAACTTACATACATGCATGGATCTGTGTCAACCGTAACTGCTTCATAATAGCTTCAAACCTTTACTTCCAACTTGGATATTGCTGATCATCACCTCTTGATATGTGCTCTTCCTCACTTCTTACTACTCATTGCTAATTTCTCTGTCACTTTGGCCTTTTCAGCAATCTTCCAGCAGTTTTAACTTTTCACCTTCTATAGTATTCTCACCAAAGGTCTATTTTGCATCAACCCCGCCCCTTCATCAAAAGCCTGGTATAGCCCTAGGCCAACAGTGAGATGCTCCAGTGGAGAAGTGCTCCTCTAGCACTCATGCTGAAAAACTCTATGAGCAGTTCCTCAGAACATTTCACAGAACCAGATGCACAGAGCACCTGAATCACTTATACCAAACTTTCTACAATTAAATTGTTTGACTGGCAAAGCTTCAAATGCCCAATCATTTTCTGATGCTGTTCCTATGTTTTTTCCTCCATAAGAATGTCAGGTTACTTTTTTAACCATCTCTCTCCTGCTTTAAGTCTATTCTAATGATTCACTTTGAAACGTTCACTTAGAATTTGGAAAGCACGAAGACTCAAGTTTCCACAATCACTGCTAAGAATAAAGCCCAGATAAACTGAGTTTTAATTTTAAAAGTAACTTTCCAGTTCGTTAACAACTCCTTTTTTCATACATAAAGCTCTCCCAATTTTCTACCAGTTCTAGACCAGAGATGGTCTGAAGTGAGAGTAAAAATACAAACTCAGTAACCTTCTGCTTTAGGAAGAACAATAATACCCATGCTGTGATCACCATACACATTAAACATTTGTTCCAGATTTTGCTTAACATCTCACCGCAAGCAACTATCCCATTACACCATTCAGTATTTTTTAAAATAGAGAATAGCATAATAGAAAAAATCCCCCAAACTAGCATAAGTAATTTTATGATTTCTGGAAGGCTAATGTTGCTGTTTGATTGAGACTAGCTTCTCAAAAATCAGGAGCTTGAACTGAAGTTTACTCTACAGACTATGGTTCTTGAATAGGTTCTCCTCGATGGAATCTCTAGTGTGTGTTAAGATCACACTGACACCCATCTTGCAGCTGAGGCATTAACCACGTCTCTGTCCCCTGTACAGATGCCCGTGTCACAACCTGTAAGAGCTTATTCTTCATAACTTTTCTGATTTTAAAATCAGTCAGGAGATTCACCACTTATGGGGAGGAAACAAAGACAAACATTAATGCATTTTGTTTCTGTAACATGGCAAATAAATCACCTTTAGTTTAAGTGAAGGTAGGAACTAAAGCAGGGCGTAACACTACTGTATTAATTCCTAATATTTCCTTATGATTTCTATATTCCTTGGAGCTTCCAAATGGTCATTTATCTTGGTGATGGTCCAGAAGAGGGACTTCATCAATTTCTGTATTCAAAATTTATGTTAGAAGTCCTCTTGCCAGTTGCCAGCACTGATAGTCAACTATTTATTTTCAGCATAGGAAATGTTGCTAATTCATAAAAGAATGCTTCATTGGTGTAAATCAACTTGCTTAGCTTCTGTGAGGTCGTTTTGGTTTTTTTTAAGCCATAGTATTCACTGAGAATGATTTTGCACACTAAATGTGTTTAAATATATATATATAAACAACCACGTTAGGAGGTATCAATTGCAAACTTCACTGGTCCACTTTAAACATGTGCCATGAGACAGTAAAAATATTAAAGATCAGCTTTCACTCTTATCATGCAGTTCAACCACTTTACCTGAACTCATAAAAATTAGCTAATGGTGGTATACAGTGCAGGTTTATTAATTCTCAGTCATCTTATAAAAATACAGCACATACTCAGTATGTCCTTGGTCACCGATGTTTCTTTTGTGTGACCTCACTATCTCCTTTCCGTCTGCTCTGCTCTCCTTATAGATTTTAATTACTAGCTAAATTATGGGAAAAGGAAACTCATCATTTCACCACACCAATTATGTGTATTAATTTTCATGTTAATATTCCTTCCTTTGTTTTGAATACAGATTAGAATGAACTGCTCAAAGGAATACCGAAATTATGGAATTTTGAGGAAGAAATGATCCATACATCAAGTTTCGCATTATTTTTCTACCAAAGATAAACTGTCACATAAAATACTATAATTACACATTTGTATTTCTACAGAAAATGATAAAGGCAAAGTTCATCAAATTCTTAACATAAAACCTTTAGAGATTCAATAACTAAAACCAACAGAATAGATCTTGGGTCTTCCAGGTAGTTTACTTTACTTTAGATGATACCATTTGAAAAAACAGATATTTGGAAACTGGAACCAATTTACTGCCATCTCGGATCACCTTCCTTTCCACAAATGGCTGATAATCTAACATAGCCCTGGAGTGACAGCCCAAGCTTCTGCATGTTAGTTACACAGTATGTGGGAGCTAGCTATGAGTTATACGCTTTGAGACTTCTTTGGTCTGTTTCTGCTAGTCTTTCACAGAAGTTTATGCATTTCTTTCATCAAGAAAAGAGGAAGAAAGACTTTATTAGCTAATCTCTACATGGAGGCAAGTATTTTACACTGACCCTCCACAGCATGTGCTACTACCACTGTTCATAAACTTCACTGCCTGCCAACTTTAACAAAGAAGCACCATCCTTATGAAGCAGAGTACCAAATTAAATTAACTGGTGTCAGGAACCCAAACAAGAAAGCATTTATATCTACAATGCAAAAGATCTGCTGGTATTTTTGGTTATAGTATGGTATTCAAAGGACAGAGAGTTACCCCACTAGCACAGTTTTGGAAGACTGTCCATCTCACTGTAAAACAGCAAATGCAGGTTTAATGGATTATTTTCAGGGAACTGGAGAAAAATCAGATTTGGAAACTGCAAGGAATATTGAACATTCTTTTTCCCAAGCATGCCTGTATAAGCTGGATACAGTAATTATTAAAATTAAAAAACTGCTCTTAGAAAATACTGTTATATGCTACTTACTGAAAATGGATGTTTATTCTGAATCAACTATACATGCTGTCAGCCAGTGAAATGAGCTGCCTGATGGCCAGCCATCTCATAAAACCCAACCAACTCTGGGTTTGTTTTTGTTTAGAATGGCAGAATCCCAAGTTCAATAATAATTGATAAAATTAAGTTAGCACTATTCAAATACATTTTTACTTTTTTTTTCAGTACAACTTGTAATGGAAAAAGAATCACATGCAAGTTATGAACAGAAAATTAAACTGTAATATAAATTATGCATGATACTATTTTTGCTTCAAACAGTTAAAGAAATGATCCAATATAAAAAGCAGCCCTTTACTTGGGCAGCCCTTGTTGACTAAGTGTTAAAGGCATTTGCCATTCTAACAGGATAAAAACTAACGCCTTGAAGTGTTATCTACTCAGGCCTTTTAGCAAATTTGTTAACACTTTTAGGTATATTACTTCACCTTTCTCTTAGTGTGAACCGATATCAATTATTTAGCCAATTTTATTATTAAATGTGAACTAAAGTGTCACTTTAGAGCACTGCTCTTTATTTGTACTATTTTACATTTATTCAAA